ATATTTCCAAAATTTTGTTTCTAAATAGGTGAATTACAATTTCTACCACTTTGTTCAGGGAATTAATTCGTTTTTTTTTTTTCTTATCTTTTTACATTTTATGTTTATTGTTTTGAGCAGCTCAGTGGAACAGTGGGTAGCACTGCTGTCTTGCAGCTACAAGGTTCTGGGTTCAAATTCCAGCCTGGGGTCTTTCTGCATTTAGTTTGCATGTTCTCCCTGAGCATGGGTGGGTTCTCTCTGGGTACTCCGGCTTCCTCCCACGGTCTAAAAACATGATTGTTAAGTTAATTGGCTTCTCTAAAGTCTCCTTAGATGTGTGTGCGTAAATGGTTGTTTGTCTCTGTGTTGCATTGTGATGGACTGGTGACCTGACCAAGGTGGACCCCGCCTCTCGCCCATAGACAGCTGGAGATAGGCACCCCATGTTTATTGTTTTATAATGTAATGATTTATTTGGATATCGTTTTATCCGTTTTTCCCTTGTGGTGTTAATCACCAGATCCCTGCACCCATTGCTGCTTCTTTGTGTTTGACTGATTCACATTTCTGAATTTCAAATATAAATCCATTAAAAATTCTTAATTTCGTGGTGAGACAGTGGTCCCTATTTGCATTTTCAATGTGATTTCTGCTTTCACTATAACCTTCCTACCACTACCTGACAGTATTTAGGTCCTCAGAATATCACAGACTGAGCATACAATAGATTTCTTTGCTAGTCGCAGTCTCTTCAGTGCTTTCATCTTACTTACAAAACTAGCATCATAAAGATACATTTCAGATTTTCATATCATTTTTTTAAAGTTTTTCTCAAAATATAGGACAGGGTGTCCTAAATAGAGAAAAATTATAATTGATATTTTAGTGGTCTTTTGATATTTTTTTTAGTCTGTGTTTTTGTTTTCCAAACTTTATAGTTAAAGAGAAAAGTGCATTAATACGTATCATTACAACATTCGATAGATTACATAAACTACTTCCTGAATTTTTTTTATTTGCAAACAGTTACAGTGTATATCTAATATAACCCCAGCTTGAACAATAAAAATATATTTTACAAAAATCATGAGAATGTGAAAACAACTTTGAAACCGCCAGTAGTGTGTAAAATCAAGCAAGTAAATGTATTTCTACTTGGAATGGACACGAGTTGGACAATACAGAGGAAAAGATCAACAGACAGAGTCAATCATTTAGAATATGTTCCAATGTAGTTATTTGTCACATTATAGTTCCTGTAGGCAATAAAAACATTTATGTCAGTATCAAACATATTTTTTCAGGACAAGATTTTTGTGTTTAAAATCTGATGATGTAATGTTTCAGGTGTAATGCTTCGAAAATTAACCTTGTATATCCAAATTCAGAATATCAAATTAGAACTTTGTGAAAAGGTCAAATACTGATGACACACTCTAATCAGCTAATTAACTCAAAACACCTGCAAAGGCCTTTAAATGGTTTCTCACAGCATCATTTTATAGGCTACACAATCAGGGGGAAGACTTCTGACTTGCCAGTTGTCCAAAGAACGAGCACTGACACCTTTCACAAGGAGGGCGAGACACTAAAGGTCATTACCAAGGAGGCTGAATGTTCACAGAGCTCTTTGTCCAATTTAATAGAGAAGCACAGGGAAGGAAAATACGTGGAAGAAAAAAGTGCACAAGCAATGGGGATAACAGCGCCCTGTCTCAAACAAGGCTCATTCAAAAATGTGGGCAAGGATCCTAAAGAGTGGATTGCAGCTGAAGTCAAAGCCTCAAGGACCACAATACACAGATGTATGCAAAGACATGGGCTTCAGCTGTCACAGCCTTGTGTCAGGTGTCAGGCCACTCTTAAAAACACACCGTGTCAGAGCTAGCCGCCTGGGCTGAAGACTAAAAGCACTAGCCTGCTGCTGGGTCGTCCAGTTACGTTCTCTAATGAAAGTAAATATTGAATTTTTTTTGGAATTCAAGGTCCCAGAGTCTGGAGGAAGAGAGAAAAGGCACAGAATTCATATTACTTGATTTCACTTTCCAACAGGACCTTGCACGCAAACAGTGCTAAAGCTACCAGTATCTGGTTTAAAAGGAACACAGTATCCCTGCATTTAATTGGCCTGCAAGCTTACCTGACCTTATCTCCATTGGGAATCTTCTGAGTATTGTGAAGAGGAAGATGGAACATGCTAGACCTAAAAAGGCTATTATAGTAATTTATAATCATCTAAATCAGTAAACATAAACACTTGAATTATATTATTCTCTGTGTTAGGATATTTATGATATTCTAATTATATAACCGGCACCTGTATATCCTCAAATGTAGTGTAATGTTTGTTGCAAGTGCAAATACCTTCATAAGAAATAAAGGTTTAAAATACAAATCTTGCCTGTAATTTTCCATAATATTACAATTTAATATGACCATATGTATATTTCTTTTTTTTTTTGTTACTCCTTACTCTAGATAATCCAGAGTGCTTGGAGGCGTCTCATAGGCATAGTATTCTTTTTTTCTGTAGCACCACATTTTCTCATTTCTGGTGCAGAAAATAACAGTAGATAACAGCAATGATTCAGTCTTTAGGTAAAGTATGCAAGCCCTTTGGGAAAGTCAAATAAACACTCATGATATCAAAGCACACAAAGTGTTGACTTTTTATTTCCTTTAAGTTTCATTTGTTTGTTTAGGTTTGAATTTGAAGAGGATCTAAGGATCTCCTTGGTGAGGTCTCAAAGCGAACTTTAGGAATCGCTGTTCTATTAAGTTTAGGTCTAGAAACTGAGATGGTCATTGAGTACCGTTGTACTCAGAAAAAAATTCTGTGTTTTTCTTTCAAGGATTTTTGCTGTTTTTTTTCGGTCATTATCAACAAGCCATTTAAAAACATTTTCTTGAAAAGATCATGCAATTTAACAATGTTTGCAAGACCTCTGGAAGGTAAAATGCTTAAAGCATAAATTAAGTTCTTGAATGTACAGAAGTGGGTGAGGTTATCTTTGTATTTCACTTTTTGTTGCAGCAAACCCATATGGAATATTTGTTGCAGAAAAGGTTTAATTTGTCTCATCTTACTCAAGCTTATCGTTCTGTTTAAATGGTATTTGACAAAACACAACAAAGCTTATATATATATTGAATTTGTGTTGTGTATGCTTGAATTTGTTGTGTGTATAAGTATATATATATTTTTGTTTGTTTGTTTTTTGGTTTTTCCTCATCTCTCAAACCTTACATTGCTAGTAATGTTAAATTAACTTTAAATAACAACAGTAATAATCATATAGACTCTGGAATCAGTCAGGTATTGTTAGATAGGGTCATGTGACCTAAAATGAAAATTTGCTCCTAGTTAAATCATCACCCAGAAAAAGCCATGCCGTCTTCTTTTACAGAACATACATTAAACTCCTCCATTATTTCAGACTCAGCACAGGGAACCATTAGCAGCCATGGCTTCAAACGGAGTCACAGAGCAAGTGACTCAGTTATTACTGTAAGGATAAGCCTGGTTTGGCATGGAAACAGGGTTTGCGGTTTGAGATGCCTTCCAGTAGCTGGTTGACTGAGATAAACAAATTAAGCCAAGATATGAAGCAAGAGGAGAAAGGGTTTGTGTTCTGGATGATTATTTATCTTGCAGCAAGCAAAGGGGGAGATAACAAGATGTCTTAAAGGCAATAAATTAGCTTCAAAAGGATCAACCTTTTTCCTCTCCCTCCCATTCTCTGACCCACAGTGCATGAGAGGACTCCACATGTGGACTGTTGCTCTGTTTTTATAGGAACTGTTTAATAATGACAGAAAACTGGATGAGAACAATTAGACCATAGTCAAATTGTAAAGCAAACCTTGGGGCTGTCTCTCATGTTTACCCTTTCATCACCATACTGAGAAATGTCGTAAATGTCCTTGACTCGGTTCTCAGTTTGCCCCCCAGATATCGGGACGTGTCTTGAATATCATTTAATAATAAGGCAGCCTCATAATGTTTCCTGAGTAAATTACCTCTAAAATACTCGGAGGGATTTCTTTGGTTCAAGGACTGCATTATGGAGATTAGGCACAAGGATTCTTCAAAATTGCATGCTGAATGGCAGGGTGGTGTCTGGAAATGCAAGAATCCATTTAGAGAAGATCCCATCTCCACCTTGGTGCATCGTCAATACTGGAGCTCATTATTGCAATGGATGCTTAAAGTCATCGGCT